AATGGTTGACCAACCCAGAACAAAAGAGACGACCTCAGGGGATGGTCAAGCTTCCATGGTTTGGTGGGTGAGCGTTTGACTCACATGTCAGCGTTTACAGAGCTTTCGGAGTTCGGTGACCACAGAGATCGTTCTCGCCATCTGTGTGCCACGAAACATGAAGGGCGCCGCGGCGGCACCTTGGAAACATCAGAAGACATATTTATCCCTTTCAAACTCATTTTACACTCGTCACCCTCTGTAAAAGACCTTATAAAATCAATAGGCGGGTCATGAACTTTTTCCGCTGAGGTCGGTGAGGTCTGTACCAGCACCGACTTCACAGGTCACCAATTGAAACCTAGGGCCTAACATGACAACCCTCCATTTCGGTGACCTGTTGGAAGGTGCTGGTACATGTCATGTAGATCAATTCACTTCAACGCCGCCAGGTGCACCTCCGTCACCTGACCTGAATCCACTCCACGCCGCCCCCGCACACACGATCGCCGCCGTGCTGCTCGTGAAGCTCGCTCATGGCGTCGCACACGTCATCAGAGAACAAGTCCTCCGGGAGGTGTGCGCAAACGTGTGCTGCAAAACGCCCAAAGCAGGTGTGAAACGCTGCCTCTCATCCAGGTGGAAAGGCTGCAAGCGCAGGGTAACTTGGGGTGCAACTTGGGGTGTAAATATGGGGTGATCGCACTCCGAATCGAAGTGGAGTGATTTCACCACCGGACCCGTTTGGACCGCCGCAGACCGGACCCCGCTGCCCAACAGCGAGGGGTCGTCCCACCGCGTACCACCTTCCAACGGCAAACTCGGTGGTGTTTGGACGTATAGCTATTTATAGACACCCTATATCACCCTATGACACCCTCAGCAGAGGGTCCACATCATACTTGGTTAGGTTTATAGTTACAGCTTGTTTAACCACTATATAAGTTCCCTTGAACACAGCTCGAGTGTCTTGATGGAAGACATCACACATCCATGGGGCCGTTTTCTACGGTGAGCAGTCCCGCCGCGTGGAAAGCCATTGGCCCAACTTGATGAAGACAGGGCCACCTGAGCGCTTCAGAAGACCCTGGGCCTTCTTCCGCCTTTGAACCTCTGGGTGTGCCAGGAGACCCCATGCCGGAGAGTTCCCCAACATCCTCGGCCCCTGGCTGGGTCGACGGATCTATTATCCCCTCTTCCATACACCAGAGGGAAGTCTTTGGTTCGGTGTCCCTATTTGAGCCACACCCCTCTGGTGCTTTTTCGTCTTCGTCCAGGCCCCTCGAATGAGAGGATCAATTTGCGGACTCGATGGGCGTTGAATCGCCTTCAAGGTCTCGAACGATGAGAGTTGAAGTATCGAAGAACTGGGGTTTTCTCCCTCAAACGGACAGGGCGAAGTGCTGTGCTGTGCTGTGGAAGGCCCCAAACGGTGGGAAGATTATCACCTCCAAACCTGACAGACATAGATCCGTGGGGGTCACAACAATCTGTGTGCTGAACATGAGGACCTGGCTAGCCTGGCGATGATTCAAAATGTTGATACACATGTTGACACAGAACTATACAGCTATAATAAATACAGCTGTATAAATATTAATAGCTGATATCATAGCAGCTATAGCTGATGACGATATTGGCTTTCCAAGGCTCAAGTTCCAATCACATACCAAGCGGCAATCTGGAAATCACATGCCACTAGACCTTCTCATGGCAGCCTGAAATCGTCCTGCGCAACCCTCTGGTTTGTTCAACTTCTCAGATCTCCCGTCCCAGTGGCTCCTTTGCAATGAGAAGACCACGGTTGAGGGGCTCCTCGGCGGCAATCAGGGTGGGCCAATGTGGACCCGGACCCGTTGGGTGGGCCAATCGAAGGAAAAGACGAGGCACCTACGTCCGCGCAGAGACCGAACGAAGCCCGACAGTAGCTTCCTTCACCTACGTCGAGAAGGTGTACTACATGACATGGAGCCAGGCACTGTACTATCCGTTCTTCGCACGCGGAGCTGCGCGAGCTGCTTGAGCCCTTATTCATGGGTTGGGTTCCCTCCCTACAGTTCCCCGGTGGTAGATCGGGATCGCGCTCTCCCGAGACAGGCAGGAGACAGGCAGCTTGCTCTTTCGTCGTTGTTTGTTGCGACATGTTCAACCCTCCAACCCACACGTGACGTTCTTCGGTGACCAGCGCCGTGATGATCGTGATTTTTGAGACCTATTTTGAAAGTCAAATGCGAAGATCCCATGAGCTACCAGGTCTTATGTCTTAGAGCCTTCCGCCCCAAATGGTATTCAATCATTCACCTCTCTTCTTACCACCAGAAGGTGGAGGATTCCCTCTAGCCGACCCATTCTATATGTATCTCTGGGTCATTTAGAGGCTGAGGTACTTCAGATCCCCAACCCAATGGATCTGTTCCCCACTCCGCCGCTCGGCTCCTGAAGACGATCGCTGGCAACCAAACCAGCGACAAGTAACCTCGGCTGTGGCCACTCGGTGGTGCCCCACCCGTGGCGTCGGGTGAGGATCCGGAAGAGGTGAGGCTGACGAGACGTTCCCAACGGTTCGAGCCGACCTCTCATGAAATATGGAAAACACTCCCAGAACCGAAAGGAGAGGCTCGCTACCTCACGGGCAAGAAGAGGCGAATGAGAGCTACCTCATTTTTTTTTTTTGAAACTATATATAGCGAAAGAAGGTAGCTACTAACACATGTTTCTACATGTGAACACTTTGTAAGTGGGTCACATGTCTCTACCGAAAGCTACCGCGAAAGAGACGATTGAATCATCGGCTCAATCTGAACTGCTGCCTCTGAGGGAACAATCAACTGGTTCTTTGGATGCACCATTCTGCCCTGGCCACCCCTACCCCCATCCAAATGAATTGGCGAAAGAGGGCCTGACTTCAGTGATGCTCAATGAATGTTGCAGGGTTTTCCATCACTCCACAGCCACTTTCATAGCGCTCCAACTTCTCATCTTCAAAAACGCTCCAAAGAAGAGACAGCCCACGTCCCCTAGGCTGGTGCTCCACACCTTGCGAAGGAAGGAGTAACGCGTGTTTCTGCTTTTTCTGGCCGGTTGAAGGCGTTGGCTCACCCCCATCGTTTGCTCCAAGGAGCAAGCACGGCACGAGGCCGGAAGGATGCAGCGAAGAATCCTCGGACCAACGAGAAGACAAAAAACTTCGCCGACGCCACCCCGGTCCAGCTGAAAAGTGTGAGGACCGTGGTCCACGGCGCTTAGCGGTTGGAAGGGACCTGGATCATGTGCTTGCTCGAAGTAGAGGAAACAGTGGGTATAGGCTTAAGGTGAGTACAGTCCTGTCCTAGTCCTTAATCCTATCCTAGTATACAGTATACCATTGTGGGTCGCTGGTCCTTCCAAACCTCCACTCTTTTAATCATGCCATGCCTCACCTTCTAATCGGAGGTGAAGCAGAATTCATGCCGAGGAGACGTGAGTCAGTGGAGTCATGCAACAAGTGACGTGGAATGGTATAGGACACGACAATTCGAAGGTGTCTCTTCCTTTACTTCTACCTTTTGAATGTGAGGCACCTGGCTCACCCACAAGCACTGCCGCGAACTGACCTGCCCACTTCAAAAACAACACTCAACAGAGACGGAAGGCCTAGAACAGCTCGGGTCTGCCGTTTCTACGTCGCTTTTGGGACATTACATGCTCCCCTTCTCGAGGCTTTTCCTCTTTCAGCTGGGCGATGTGTTCCTTCGGTTGAAGACGTTGAAACCGCGTTAGACGGAACGGAGGGTGATCCGAATCACGCGGTTAACGGACCTCGTGCGAGACCGTGCTTGAATTCATCCAAGATTCACAAAGAGTAGCAAGCCCAAGAACCACACGCGGCGGTCTTTCCATCTCAGACGGGCCAGAACCAGGATCGGCAGCAGCAGCACCAGCACTTCTTTCATGGCGCGTGTGAAAGCACAGCCCAGGCGCCAGTCTTCAAAGCAGGGGGAGATGAGTGGTTGATTGCCCACAGGCTCGGATCATCTAGCGTTGCTTGGATGATTGCTTTCTTGCTTCACTTGTCTTCGCCCAAAAAGAGTCGACCAAACCTTGACATCCAAAAAAGAGCCTCTGCCAGGCAAGCTGTTCATCTTTTCTATGCCATGCCTTTTGTCTCTCTAAGAAAGCCAAAGCCACCTTTCGCGGGCTCCCGCTGGCTTCGGAGTCAACCTTGGGCTGGGAGTGCTGAACCTTACGGAGTTGATCGCATCCCTTGCGTCTGATCATCTTCTTTGAGCCCCATCAGCTTCGTGCCATGTATGTCGATCATGTCGATCATGCTCAGCTGGGACACCCTGTTGGCTACTTACAGTAAAGCTTTCCTCTCCCCCCCAAAGCCAGTCACTTGGGTAAAAACATTCCACTTTTTTGCAAGCCCACTCAATGTGGTCGGGTTGGGTGGGGTATTGAAACAGTTTCAAAATCACCCAGTCAATTGCTTGGCACAACATCTTAGATTCAAAAGCAACAACTTTTGTTGTGCAAGTAGCGAGGAGGGGCCCTTCTTTGGAAGAAAGGTGGCCCGAGACATTTGCTCTTCTTTTGCTCTTCTGGGATTGTGCCCCTACACTATCCGAAGCAGGCTTTGGAGACCCTGTGTCCTTTTGGCGTTTTGGAGCTCACTTCCGTTCAGCAGAGTGTTCAAGACACAATATGCTGAAAGAACCTGGTACAAGGGGATATGATGCCTGTACAAAAAACAGATCATAGGTTGACACCTAAAGGTGATCTGTTGGGTGTAACTCTTGGTCATCAAAAATATCCTTTGGACAAATGTCTGTCAGGTGCGCTTTCATAATCTCCAGTCTGGTGCTCGGCTTCAAAAGCTCAAACACCTTTTCCGGTGGTGGAGGATGAACCCTTCGACCAATCTCTGGAAATGGGCCCATGGTTACTGGTTACCAACTTCTTTCAACAAGTTGCCCCACATATGCTGGTCAACGACATGGTCCTTCTGTTCTTCGCCCGCGCTGCATGCCGCCCAATCCCACTCCGGCCTCCACGACCTTCTCCACCACCACCGCTGCGTTGCCCACCCACAAGGTGCCTGGGCCGTTCGCGCGCGACGCGTGTGGCACGCACCACACGGTTGGTGACCACGGGGCACGACCTTGATGGTGAGATCAATCTAACAAATGGCAGTGGGTCATGGATGGTCATGGCACAGAAATATCCAGGTTTTTTCCCACCAAGAGAATAGAAACTAGAATAGAGCTATATACAGTACCACAAGTGTTCCAACCGGCCAGGATTTGGAGTGGTTTTCACCGTCCAATCCCCGGTCGAATCCGCTCAGCGGCGCAGGTGCTCCCGCACATGAACTTCACAATTCCACTTTGGGCCGTGTCCTTCTCCCATTGCACCGACGAATCACCGGTGGCGCCTTGAGCAGCCTTCTCGGAACAGCCTGCACCCAGTCACGTCCGGTCCGTTCACCGTCGGTCACTGGGCAGCCGAGGCCCAAGTAGTTCAGGAGCGAATCCTCGCGGACGCGCCCGAGGTGTCGACCGGAGCCGGAGACAAAAGCGCCGGGGATCCGCGCGAGACGTCGCGTTTTGGGACGGCGTTGCCGTGGCGTTTGGTTCTTCTCGGAGAGGAGGGAGTCCACGGGGTGGACTTCGGTGGACTTCGGTGGACCCTCAAGTCGAAGGGGATCTTCTTCTTCGTGGTAGTAGTGGCATCATCTGGAAGTTCTGGAGATGTTCTTCCACATGAAACCATCTGCAACACTTCACAAGCTTAATCTGTCTTGAGATGATTTGACCAAGTTCCTCCACCTCAAACAGCCTTTGGCTTCTGTGACACTTCGAAGAGCTTCGCCAGCTCCCCGACGGACGGAGCCCGCGGACGGAGCCCGAACGACACAGGCCGAAAGGGAAGCAGGCTCGAAATGCGGCAAAACACATGTTTGTGGAATGACATCGAAATAAAGACCTGAGTGCGGAACCCATGAACTGTCTATTCTTCTTTTCGTGCTTTATGACATCAGTTGAGACCTCTTCGAAAACCCCCGGAAGTGTCGATCTCCCCATCCCCCTTCGAAATGAAACGAGGGGACACATTGGATGAACACACTGTGATTTCCGGATCAGAACTCATGGGTCCCTGAGTCCGAACTCAAAACGAGTTCGGATCCCAAAAGATTCCTGCTGAGAGTGGTGCCTTCTCCCAAAAAGACGGTCCTACCTACACCACTCTCGACCAACTCAATCCGCCCTCCAAAAGCGACCGAACAAACGACCGGTCAGTGGCCAGGGCTCTAAGACTCCGTGACCAATGTACCGGGCGCCCTTCTCGGCCGCTGCCTGGAGCGCACGTGGGCGGGCGGGTCATGCCTTGAAGCCTCGAAGAGAGAAACAACATCAAGGCGGATTCGTAGGTGAAAGATGGTGAAAGTTCCAAGTTGAAGCATCTATTGTCTCTGCAGTGGTTCTTGATATATCCTTCAACATGCTTAGACTAGAGGGAACCTCAGACTCAATGAAAGCATCTTCCTTGAGTAAAGATCCCCAGATCAGTGCCAAAAAGCCCGCTCAGACCTATCCTGCCAGAGCCCGACACTCACTGGCACAAAAAGAGGACCCCCGGACTTGAAAGGCCAGGACCTACACCCTGGGAGTCAAAGACTATGAAGAATGGTCTTTAGGTGGCCCGAAAAGGAATATCCTTTACTTAAGTTGGTCAACATATCGTCTTTGGACTTCTGGGGTATAGGCATAGGTTTTAATGCTGGAACACTCTCCTTAGCCCAGACCCACTTGAGTCGTTGCAGGACACCGACCCGCTGACGAAAGAGCCAGCCATGGTAGGTCGCTCAGTCTCCTGCTGAAACGACTTGGACCTTTGATTATATGTCTGCATGGGCTTGTGACCTCGGGTTGATCCTGATGCATGTGCTTGGCTCTTCAGAAGATGTCGAACATCTTTGTCGATCCCTTGTCGAAGAAAAAGGCTGACCCTGAAGGGAAGGCCCCAAGACTTATATAGTTCGATTCTGCGCAGATTCCCATTCGCGGTTCCACATGCGTGGTTACACACCAAACTATACCCATTCGCATCCCATTCGCTTTGGATCCTTTATGCTGAAGCCAAACACATCGAGACTCGCCCACCACCAACCTCCCCCACCAACCGCGAGCGGCCCCGCCGAGCTCCCCGGCTCCAGCGGCACCCAGCTTGAGCTTGCTCCACATCGCCGAAGCCTGACCAAAAGCATGCTCGCGTGGCCCAGCAGGGCAAAGACCGGCCCAGCAGGGCTCATGGTGCTTGTGGCTCGACACCACGCGCGTGGACGGAATGGATCCACTGGAGAAATGTCAGCAAAACGAAAGCACATCACCAAGCAAATCACTCCAAACTTGGTTTGATAATCTTGAAGGGTTTCCAGTAAAACAAGTGTGAGTTTATTGTTTGTGGAATCTTTCAGGTTTGAATCGCTCACCACGCCTTGCCAACAACAACCTTGAATGATCGTTCCATTCGCTTCCTCCTGTGGATGACGTATTCAATCAAGGCCTGATCCAACAACCGATGTGCCCCATGTTTGTGCCGAAAGAAATCGAACCTGCTGACCAGGCTGGGGACATCGAGCCAAAGCACCGCTCCATATCGCCCCGGGGCTCCTCGCCTGCGCCTGCGCTCGCTCTGAGGTCTCGGGGAAGACCAGGAGCCATCGGCCGCCGGACGCGTCCAGGAGCACGTCCCGAAAGTCCTGCACGGGCCGAAACGCCGCGACGGGAGGGTGGAGAGAGGCTTGACACATTTTTGTCGAAAGTGTGCAGCCAAGTGGCTGCTGGACTTAATGGTCCAGGGAGTGGAGGTAATATGATTGGCCAATCCCCCAATAAGCCCTCAAAATCTCCAAACGCCCAAACGTCACCACCTCGGCGTGACAATGTGTCTACACGTTAGCATGACCCGTGTCAGCATGCTACCATGAATGCATGTCAGCATGACTTGCCTGACGACATGTCACTTGCTCATGACGGGAAACCAGTACACCGCTGGTGTGTGATACTGACTCTAGCCACAATGGCGAAATAAAACCATAAACAACTGGAACAAGAAGCTACTAGAAGCTCCTGGCATTACTACTAGTAACAAGAAGCTGCTAGTAACAACGGGCATCGCTACTAGTAGCAACTAAACTACTAGAATGCACTGATCCCAAAAACGTTCCGAAAAACGCGGGGCGCTTGAAAAAACGTGTTATCGGGCTCAAACTCCTCATAGGTGCTGAAGAAGAGCCCAGCTGCTGTGGCACCCAGCCTGGGATGAGTTCTCATACATGGTCACCTTTCGTTCAGTGTAGCTCAATTAGGAAGACCGCCACAGGTGCAAAGGCCACAAAAATCGCTTCAACTTGAGAGCTCTGTGGAGCTTTGCTCTGTGGAGCTTCTGTGAAGGAATCGATGTTGTTGCACATCTTGTGTGTGCGGCAAGGGTCAATGAATGCCATGATTCCATGTTGCCAATGAGGCTGCCAAACAGGTCAAGCAGTGATGGTAAATCCAGGCATCAACTCGACTCACTTGGATTGCAGTCGTGAATTTGGCCCTCTTATTCGGCATTGAGCAGCGCTCTTATTCAGCAATGACTCGACCGGCGCGCGCATCTCACTTGTGCTGTTCTGCCGAAAGGGCTGTGCCAAAATCAGCAAAAAGGAGCAGCGCGTGGCTGCAGGGCGAGGAGAACTTCCTCAGCCATCACATCTCCACAACCTCCATGGTCCTCTGGCACAGTCTCTGGCACTCTGGCATTCGAGGGCGACAGGTGCGATGTCTTCGGCCTTTGAGAAGCTCGCAGGCTATGGGGACAGCAAGGAAGCCTGATGGAACATCGCATCGGCTTCAGCACCACCTGCAAAACCAGCTTGTACTCAGCTGCAGTTCCGCTCCTTGAGTGGAGTCCTCACAAAGGAGAAACCGGAGAAGGATGCCTTCACAACGGAGCTTCAGGGCTCTCCGGCGCAACCATCCAGGTGAACTACAACAAGGAAACACAGCCGCATATGGATGGGAACAAGGCGCGCACAGGCGCTGGGCGAAGTGCGAACATCGCCACGGCCGCAAACGCGGGGCAAACAAGATCTCAGCGGATCTACTAAAAGCCCTGTCGAACAAGGGGCAAGAGCTCGAGAGCGCAGAGGAGGCTGTGAACGACAAACAGGAGGCATCCTTGCTTGTTACTACTAGTAAGGCACTTGTTACTACTAGCGTGGCACTTGTTACTAATAGCTTCTTGTCACTACTAGTAAGGCACTTGTTACTACTAGCGTGGCACTTGTTACTAATAGCTTCTTGTCACTACTAGTAAGGCACTTGTTACTACTAGCGTGGCACTCGTTACTAATAGCTTCTTGTCACTACTAGTAAGGCACTTGTTACTACTAGCGTGGCACTTGTTTCTAATAGCTTCTTGTCACTACTAGTAAGGCACCTGACGGACCTTTTGCTGTAAACCTTCCGATGGATGTTTGATGAAAAGGTCGCTCAGCCTCCATACGTGTCAGGGCCATACGTACTGCCATACGTCTCACGGCCGATTCACCCATAGGTGGTGTTCTTTAAGTTCACCATAGTTCACCTAGTAGACTTTACTTTTATTACTACTCCTCATCCTTTCATGGCCCTGTGATTTTGAACGTCGAACATTGTTTTTTGTTTTTCGAGTTCAAACAAACATGTTTTTTGAAAAGTGGCCGAAAAAGTTTGAGAAGTGGACGAAAAAGCATCGTTTGAATCATTGATGAACGAAACCGATAAGGAACCATTCCATCAAGGTCGCTCAGCCTCCACTGTGAAACCAATGAAAACGATGACAATGTTGTGAAACCGATTCCAACCCCCCCCACCCCACCCCTCCCCCCTAATTTAATCACATGGTCATGTCATTCAACGAATGACAATGCTGTGAACCGATGACAATGTGTTGTGAAATGGATGACAATGTTGTGAAATGATATGAAACTGATGACCCCAACCCTCCCCCCACCCCAATTAATCACATGGATTCACATGGTCATTCAGAGACAATGTTGTGAAACGATGACAATGTTGTGAAACCAATGATAATGTTGTTGTGGAACCGATGACAATTTTGTCAGACCCATGAGTATGATATCGGTGATGATGTTGTGAACCCATGAAATAGTATTGTGCAACAATTGTCAATGAAGAGATGAAAAACGATGAATTCCAAGGGCCGTGAAAGGCGCAACTAGTTTACATTCTACTTCTAGTAACAGTACTACTACTACTACTACTACTACTACTACTACTACTACTTACTAACTACTAACTACTAACTGCTAACTACTAACTACTAACTACTAACTACTACCTACTACCTACTACCTACTACCTACTAGACCCTACTGCTACTACTACTACTCCTACTGCTACTGCTACTACTACTCCTACTGCTACTGCTACTACTACTGCTACTGCTATTGCTACTGCCACTGCCACTGCTACTCCTACTGCTACTACTCCTGCTACTGCTATTGCTACTGCTACAGCTACTAAACTTACTACTACTGCTGCTGCTACTGCTACTACTACTATTATTACTAGTAGTACTGTTCCTACTAAGTACTACTACTACTACTGCTACTGCTACTGCTACGACTACGACTACGACTACGACTGCTACTACTACTACTACTACTACTACTACTAGTACTACTACTAGAAGACAAACGAGAAGATTCTCAGAGAGGACCTTTCGCTCCTGTCCTGCCCACTTGCCACTATAAATAAAGGTCCCCCTTAATTTCAATTTCGGTTCCCTTTTCAAAACATGGACCAACTGACTTGAAGACCAAAACTTCAACCCTGCAGAAGCATGAGGATTGGTACAAGCAAGTCTGTGACTGAGCTCCCACTCCTTTTAGAACCATTGATTCCTTTCTGAGTTCCCACTGCGGGGCTGATCCCCCACGCCGACGGGGGATCAGGCTGGATCCTTTGCCGACTTCGATTCAATGAGGAGCGTGTGGGGTTGGGTGCTGATTGGACATTCATTTTTTGCGTGTTGGAAACTTGTTGGAAATATTTGAAAAAATTGGGGGAACTTTCCAGTCTTCTCACGTGACACTGATACAGTTAGGCTGTACTTGTTATCTTGTTAGCAAGCAAAAGACATGACCCAGCTGAAGCTTCGGCCATCAAAACCTCGGGAAACGCCTCGGGAAGGCACGGGACTGGCCACATTGAAACCAGTGGTGTGTAGCTCTGTCATTTTTCTAGCATCCGTTCACTCCTGGCTGAAATGATCTCAGGATATGAAGAATTCATACATTTTTTTGGCCACCGACATCCGATTGGTCATGTTCGCGATCGCTTTACGTGCCATCACTCTCTTCCAGATCGAGTTGAGGGCTGACACATCAGGGCTTCTGTTGCTGTAGCTGGTTTTGACTCTCTAAGGTATGGACGGAAGGTAATCATCAGTGGCCTTTGAGATCTTAGCTGGTTTCCAGAAGCGAGTTTCTCTAGGTATTTTCATGCTGTGTAGGACTGGAAAGGGTTAGTTCCAAGAGCACCTGCGAGCTTTGTTTTTGCTCATGAGGTTGCACGTATGTCAATCAGCATTTGCATGCACTTGGATGCTCGACGTGAATCTTTGCTTGAGAGACCAATTCTTTGAGCCAGGTGGTGATGTTGATCCTTCACAATCCTGAAACGAAGGAGACTCTTGTGCAGACTGCTCAGGCTCGTTTGCGAGCAGCGAGTGGTCCCCGAGTGGTCAGACCAGACCGCCGATATTTCCTTTCCAGGTGTAGGACATGTTTCTTTGTGATGGCTCAACGATGGTCTAAATTCAGGCCTTTTCATTGTTGTTGCAATGCCACCAATCGTTTGACAATGCTGTGCACACATGATGCTACAGGCTGTATCACTATGGCAAGCGCTTGCAAAAAGAACATTGCACAATCAAAGTAATACATTTGTTCAACCAGCTTTGAGTAGAAATGCATATATATATATATAAGGCAAGAAAGCCACACATCAGTTCCGAACTTTTCAGCCTCACCTGCAGATGTGGCCTGATGGCAAGACCAGCTACCAGCCGCGTTGAATGGAAGACTCTATGGGAGCTCCATGCTGTTTCAGGGTTGGCTCGAGGTCGCACGCAGGCACCAGGTGCAAAACGACGCCGGGAGACCGAGAGCGAGAGCTGTGCAGCAACTTTCGTTGGGTACAGGATTCCACTGGGTACAAGTGCAAAGCATTCTGAACCCGCGGGTTTTCGGATTCAGAAATCCTATTCCATGCTCCTGGAATCTTTGAACTGTAGAATCTGGTACCCGAGGTTGAGGACTGGACTTTGATTGTTTCCTAATCAGGTTCCGTGGTCATTGTGACCTGTGGTGATTTGGTCATTGTGGTGCTTGATAGGGATCTTTATGTAGAAGCAAGAAGCTTGCAGAGCACCATCGACCCTTCTAGATCGATGCAGAATCCAAGCAGCTTCGCTCTCGAAGGTCTACCGGAAGCGTGTCATCAAGGGGAGGTGATTCCCAGTGAGGATCCTCAGCACTTGGGGCCGTACAGCTTGACTATAGTCTTATATAATAGTTGCGAATCAGTGAGTGGCAATAGTACATGATACTGTATACGCGGTATGCAAGTAAAGGAGCACGCAAACTTGACAAAGCCTTCAGAGCTGTGACGATAATGCATCCAAAGTATTGTTTTAAACTTGAAGTTTACCTCATAGATGAATGATGTGAAGTGACGCAGCACTTGTCTCGGCTTTGCTTCGCCAGATGCTTGATATTGAGATGGGGGTCGGCAACTTTCGTTTCAGAATCTGAGAATGTCCAGACAATGAAATATTTTGCAGGTTTATGAGTTTAGGGCAGTCTCCAACTGGGTGTGACAAGAAGCATTGTTCACTGTTCCAAATGAACGTTGGGATTGTTGTCTAGCTGAATGCGCTGATGTTTGATGACTTCACAAAGGCAACCGAGGGGAGGGAATCATGCGGCCTGGGAATCACATTCAATATATACATGATACACAGACATTCACATTCACATGTTTGATCACTTACTTCTCTACATATCTTGGAGACCCTTTTCATCCTCCGGCCGTGTGAGCTGGTGTGTGCCCTCCCAGGCCATAACCCCCTGGAAGAAGAAAAATAGACCACAACATACCACAACCCATTGGGCCAGGAAAGTTCCCTCTTAAAATATACACCCACATGCATCCCCCGAACTGTGCGAGTGCTCAAACCACCTGCGACGGAGCAGAATCGTTTTAAAGGATGATCTTGCAGATTGCGGGCGGATTTGGCAGGCCGGTGTACCCGGTACCACTTGGATGAGTGCACCAAGCGTTTCCAGACGCGCGAAGCACCGCGACGTGCGTTTCGCATCGTGCGAAGGATGCCGCCGAAGAAGATGGAACAAAAAGTCTTTCAAACACCAAGGGGTGTCCCTACAGAGTTGATCATACAACAACACTACGAACATGAGCTTTGAAAAGGACCAGACTGGAGCTGGTCCACCTGTCGGTTCTCTTTGGTTTTGCCCCTTTGGATCCACCGGCCACGTGGTCTGGCCCAGCGGCGCCAAGCCACCAGTCTTGGCGATCCATGCGAAGCCTGCCGGGCGACGGAGAACGGAGGGGTCGCCGCGAAGGAGATGGGAGATCCGTGATCTGACATTGTTGAACTTCGTCCAACTCAAATACCCAGCAATACCTATGTGCGGGGTAGATTGTCACTGGATGGAACTGGCATTATTGTACGCTTGCTGTGTGTAATGATGAGCATATATATATATATACATACATTAATATATGTATATATATATATGTGCGATGGGAGTATGAATGCTCCAAGTATTCGGCGGAGCATACCCTATCTCAACTGGGGAGGATGCCTTCTGACATACCTGACCCTCAATTTGGGCGTGTTAATGAGCTGGCCATCATGGGAGCTACATCCGCAAGCTGGTACTTCATGGCGACTTTGTGTAGCTACTGCTAATGCTGCTCGGAGAGCAATGTTTCTCTGAGCTTGCTGCCCGTGGGCTGGGAGCTCGTCTTGGAGGCAAGATTTTCTCTTGCTTTCTTCCCCTCGAGTGAAAAGAATATTGTATATCCCACGGGCTGAACCCAATGTTAGAACACCAAGCGGTCTCATGTAGCCTCCTTTGTCTGGATAGTGCACAAGGTTCTGCTGGTAGAAGGCGCACAAGGCTATCATTGCATCTCTGGACAACATCTCCATAGACAGATTGGCTCTGAAGACTGAGCACAGAAACTGAACCTGGTAGGCTCTGCCTGAGAAGTCTGCCATGAGATGAAACCCAGTCCCAAAAGATATGGATATTTTCCCAGTCCCAACCACTTGCTCTGGTTGGAGAATCTCATCGCTTCGCCCAGCACGCTCGTTCGTACACGACGCAACGAACTCGTGCAACGACTTCTCTCAGGGACTGCGGTGCGGTCGGCGAGGCGGACCGAACCACACAAAGGGATGTATTCCCTGGAGTCTCCAGTCGACTACATGAATGGTCTGACGAACGGTGACCCGAGTTCAGGAACTCCCTGACACCGTCGAACTGGACTTCTAGGGCATGATGATTTCGCACAGAGAAGAAGCAAAGCAACGCTTTGAAGAATCTAGAAACAATGTGTTACACCTCTTGGATGTACTGCTCCATGTCCGAGGTCTGAATTTTCAAGGCAAAACACCCAAACCAAGGGGGGCGGCCAAAGCAGTATGGCTAGGGCCTGAGCAAAAGGTGTGGTAGCAAAGCGGAAACGACAAAAGATGATTGATTAAACACACCAACCTTCACCTTTGTAGATTCTGGCGGCGAGGGGTGTCCTCCTCGTCACCTGCCATCATCAGAGCGAAGAATGCCAAATAGAAGGACAACTGAAAGTGCATGCAAACAAATGTGCGCCTCTCTATTCCCTTATCTGGCTGTTGCTGCTTTCAAAGTCTCTTGCCCTCCTTAGAGAGCCTTGGCAAAGACTAGATCTAGCCTGTCACGAACTGTCACGTTGTCTACCTTCATCTTCTGGGAGTAGGGTGGTAGTGGACCTTTTAAAAGCTTGTTCACATTGACAAAGATCATGCATCACCATAGACTTTGCCTTTGACATTGGATCTACATTGATGACGCCAATGAGGGTCGGTCCTGTCTCGGATTCATGATCAACGCAAAGCGTTTTTGCCATGCCCACATCCTCCGTGTATGACATAAACATCGCTTGCATTTAAGGTCATAGATGAGGTATATATATAGTAATATTGCTATGTCACCATTGCATACATGGATGGTCCGGCTGCTGCGGCACCCACTTCGCCAGTCACGTGGTCCGGTTCCAGCCTTCCCGCCGAGCAGTGTCCCCACTAAAAGGTCGGACAAAGACATGTGCCGTGTGCCCAAAGAAGATTGACGCAACTGGAGAGTACACCCAAGTCTATCCCAGACACTCCATGTATGCCATATATATGCCTACATTGGAGTGGTTTTGGGGGTCAATAATATCGAACGCAAGTTCGAGGCCATCACCAAACCCTCTGTTCTTCCCCACTCGACCCTTATTCTTTCAAGAACATCTGGTCCGACAAGAGACATATATGTCAAGCGGTCGGATTCTTTCGCCGAACGCCGCCTGGGGGGAGCTGCCACAGGAAACCTGCAGCACCGCCCAAGGCTAAGGCCTCGATGGCGATGTCTCAACGACCAGGCGACGGTCGTCGCCAGTGCAGATGTCTCAACAACCCCTTCTTAGAGTAGATCCCCACTTGGAGAGTTTTCAAGAGGATCCATAACCAAAGGTCTTGAGGTGATCCACTCTGTAATGAGAGGTGACATCAAAAAGATCTTCCTAAGAGTCCAAGTGGATCACCAAACAGTTTCTTCCAACGATCGTCTTGGGAGTTTGAGGGATCCACCATCTAACCATTGACCTGTGCGTGCTGGTCAAAGAGAACTGATCCTTGCCTTTCACTCCATGCACCCCACTTGAAGACATAGAAAAAACCGTCTCAAACCACCCTATGGTTTGCTGGAGGTCCATGATGGTCGGTCCCCTCGTTCCGGGACCACCGGTGCCGACTCGGTTCCCCCCACGCAGACCGCGTTCTCCCGGCGGAGCATGACGATGGCAGCGGTGATCCGGGGCCTCGGCCACTTGCGCCGAAGGGGCGGCGACGGCGCAGGCGCCAGCGGACTCCGAACTATTGCAGGATCATTGCATTATTGGAACAACTTAAAGGTGAAGGAGAACTCTATAGCTAAGTGATTCCGGTGATTGTAAATGACTTCCTGCGAAGTCCGAGAGCTGAGTGTCTTCCACTTGCGACGTTCGTCCGGCGGTTCTTGGCACCCGCTGCATGAAGACAGCTCTCACGTCGTGCTAGTTGGGCGGTTTGGCACATGTGGGCACCGTTGACTCAGTTCCTCTTCCTTGGACCAGCCACCAGTTGGTGGATCTGGCAGGTTGGACCACTCAACCAGAATGCTATGGCATGGCATGGCATGGTATGGGCCAGGCATGGGACCGGGTGCTCTGTTTGGTCCAGAGAATGAGCTATTGCTCGCCATGCAAAGAACGGCCTCCCATATTCTGTCTTTTGTTTTGGACCCCCTTCTCTTTTGATCCAGCGCCCTTCTCGACCACCAACCCCAATTCCCACCCGGGGTCACCGGCGGAGGAGCCAAGGTTTCCACGAAGTGCAGGAAGTCTTTGCCTCGACCCACACCGTCTCGGAGGACACCCCGAGTGAAGCGATGTTCCCATTCGGATGGGGTCGTGAGTCGTAAACCAGGAGCCCCTGGTCCACCGCGTAGCCCTAGTCATTCCACATCTTCCAGGAAGGTCAAACAAAGACTCCCAGCCAGGAGTCACAAAGGGGTGCCGAACTTGGAGGATAGGGGTGCCCATGATCCACTCACTTAGGAACTAAAAGCCACCCAACTCCATGTGACCCCTAAAAATCTTCACTCAAGAGTCGGCCGGGCTCAAACAGAGTTCCGCAAGTCTCGTTGCTTCGGTCGTGCCCGGTCCGCCTGGGGGCCCTTTGTGCCAGGTTCCATCGTTCGACGGCGTTGAGGGTGCAGTAGATGGCCCAAACATGGACTGCTCCTTGATACCCCACTGGCATCCACTTGCCAAGCAATAGCATTTTATAAAGGAATCCAGGTCTACAATACTCCAAAGAGCCCTCACTCAGCTTGACTGGGAGAATTCCATGCCACACATCCAGAAAGGAGCACTTCAGAACTTCTTCCTGTTGCCTTCGCGGGAGCTGAATTGCAACGGAGACCAGTCGTCCCCGCCGCTCTGAACCTCTTTGCGCAGTCGTCCCCGCCGTTCCAACACGAAGACCAGTCCAACGGACAGATCGTTCCTCCAACAACCTCCAACCGGTCAGTCCTCCTTCCGAAACTCACGGCGGATCCACCATTTCATCCACAAACATCATGCAAGCGCGCCCAGGGCATGATTGGCACTCCCACCATGTCAAACCCCCTCAAAGACATCTGTATACAGTCAAATCCCCCTTCTTTGGGCCCGAAACCACCCACCATGAACCTGGCGTTTGTCGACTGGTCCACTGGGCTCACAACGCGGCCGCCACCGGCGCGATCGCCCTCGCGCAGGCCGAGGGACGGGAGACGAGGAAGCCCACGGAGGCGGTGATGCCGCCGAGAAAGAGCAGGATCGCCAGGCCTCGGCGTCGGGCACCCATCGGGCGCAGCGGTGGGCGGCCGTAGTTCCTCTCCGGACGGTTGGCAGGATGGGAAGGCTTGGGCAGGTACCAGAACGAAGAAACATGGAGAAGTTTATATAATGTACAGTAGATGCTCATCACAACTTTCTACCTCAAGATCTTTTTGGTGTTGCTAGGTAGATCTTGACAAATGATGCATACCCACTGATCACCCTTGCTCTGTGAAGTACTATAAGAAATGTTACTTTATACTCTTTCACTCAAGGAAACAAAGCACGCTCCAGTTGCCCTCCTCAAGATTCATCTGTAGGGAGGTGGCCCAAACGCGCAGGGTAGCTGAACTTTTATGCAGTGGATGGCCTGAAATCGGATTCCATGAAGAATCCTGCCAAACATGGACTCTGTGTTGTCATATCGCAGTCTGGCCTCCTTAAAAGCTTTGAGCCACTTGCTTTGACCTAATATCGGATACTGCAACTTCTGCAACACATGGATAAACACCGCATCCCAAACTCAGAAAACTACTGGAAATCTAACAATTAGATAATATGAAGTACACCACTAGTTATAAACAACACCTGCCTTTTGAACTCCACCTGCCTTTTGACTCAACAGGGAGCGGAAACTTCCGGTTTACAAACACCGGAAGCCGGGCCGGAAGACTGTCTTGCCTTTTCGTTCATCCCAACGGTCCATGGCGGTCTTATCCACTCATCGCGTTCACACCGGAGACATCCAGAGAGAAGAGGATGGTGATGTCTTCTTGGGTTGGGAACAAAAACCTGGATCGCAACGAAGTGATGAAAACTTTGGAATTCATTCCGAACGAGCTCAACTGCTAAACCAGCTGCATGGATCAGTGGGAAGGATTCTCCATGTCTTTAAAGACCAAATCAAGGCACTAGGCACCCCGACCCATCATGTGAGTGGCGCCTAGAACATGCAGCAGAACCTGGCAAACGGGCGTGACACAATGATTTTTTCCTGGAGTTTATCCTGCCCCAAATGTGTGAGAAAAACAACTAACATGCCCCATTCACCTCCCAGTCAACAGGCAGCCTGAACCTCTTGTGGCTCTTAAATTTCCTCTACTTGGAGTGACGCACGCTCGTGCAGCTGCATTTATGTACGTGTAGGTCACTGCAAAACAAACAACCCATCACGACATTGCGGCACTCAAACTCAAAGAACTTCTCAGAAAAAAACATCTGATCCGCGTTTGAAAGATCCAAGTACCCATGCCCCGCCCCGACAAATGTCACGAATGACTTCTTACTTCTGAAAGGACACCACTCAAGTACCTGTGTTCTCTTGGAATCACCACCGAAACCGCCATGGCCTCGCGCACACCGGCGGTGCCCAGGGAGTTCTCCGCGCTGCGAGGCAAACGTTCCGGTGGGCGCCTCCCGTTGCCGAAGCAGGGTGACCAGCTGCAGTTGGCATTCCAAGGCCTCCAACGACGCAGTCGCGAGAACACAGAGGGAACGGACACAACTGAGTAACTGCCATATGCATCTTCCAAGTGTGCAAGATTTCCGCGTTTTCATCTAAACAGCCAACCCAAAGGCAGACATTTTGGCATAGTTGGAAGATCCAGGTATGAGGTGGCTTGGTGACGCGCGTGGAAAGCCATGTAATGCCTGTTTGGACTCGCTTTAAAGGCATGTTTTGGGCTTTCTTACCTCTCCTATTTGCTCGGGATGAAGCGTGGCTTTGTGGGCCCACTATCTAGAATCACAGGACCAGCTGCCCACTGGAGGAGGCCTTGTCATTCTTTGCCTGTAAGGCGAGGATTTGCACCTTGACTTGGTGGTTCGATTCCACCCTGGTCCGTATTGTTGACTTTGATTTTTATGATTTGTTGAAAAACGGTTAGTGTTCTGACCAGCATGCTCTGCACATGTGATGGCGCGCAAACGAGCACATGTAGTGGTTTTGCCTGCTCTAATCTAATGCCTTGCAGTGGGTTGTTCAATCTTGGTTCATATGCGAGGCGTGATCTCCTGGCACGTACCCTGATTACCCTGATTAATGGAAGATGCATGCCAACAACCTCATCCTGGCAAGCTCAGGGTATCAATGGGCAGCCAGTTCTGATTGGACTTGTGAAGTCTGCACAACCTGTGGGGTCTCTCAAATTTGCCTAGACCGCCAATGCATCCAAATACTGCACCTGTAGAATCCTTCAACCAACACTTGCGACTGAAACTGAGCGATGCTCATGCCGAATCATGGACCCCTTGGGAAACATGTCGTATACATCGCAAGGTCCGCACTCAGCACATCGTTCAGCTATCTGACCTGGCCATCGAACGATGGCCTCAACCACGCCGCACCGGCTCGGCTCGGCAAAGGCGGATGTCCCGAAGCCGCGGAACCGCCACCTGCACCTGCAAGAGGCCCAAGAACCAATGCGCCGAGCCTTGGGAACGCGTGTGGAGGTCTGAAGCCAACGCGTGGAGAGCCGAAAGCAACGCGGAGAGGAAGCTGAGGGTGAAAGAAAAGGAGGTCCATGCGCTCTTGGCGGAGTGATCTGGGGACATAAAAATTTCAACCGATTTCAGCCACCTTCAGAATCCGGGCCCTCAAATACATAGGGTTTTGAGGGCCCAAACCCCTGCTGTGGAGGGCCCAAGGCTTCTTAGGGCAGGACTCTCTTTGGACATCCTGGGCCTTGAACCTAAGATCTACTTGGTGTTGCTCGAGTCCCAAAGGTACCAGGTCCACGCTCCGTCGAAGGCTTCGGGTGGACAAGGTGTCACAACACCGTGTTTTTCTTGACGAAAAAGGACCCGTGCTTCAGTGGATGATGATCGTTAGGTTGCAGGCCTTCTCTAAAATAGTGATCACTGTTTAGCTACTGATACAGGTCATAGAACAAACCCAACCTATAGTGATACATGTAAAAGATCGAGTTGATCGGCTTTTGAAGATTTGAGTAGTGACTGAATATGATGTCTCGCGTGAGAAAACGATCATTCATGACTCGACCTCCCATCTATCACCGTTGTTTTCCAGAAGGGTAGGTCCCCCGATAGGCTCTGATCCACCTTAGAACCAGAGGCAAACGCACCACTTCTGCCCAAGCAACGGATTTAACAGGTCCGGGGCACCCGTCGTCCCGCTTGGGATTTCTGGCACAAAGGAGCTTGCCCCTCTCAACTGCCAAGTGGCGGTTCTGCTTTGGACGTTTGCCCCAAACGGTGTCTTCAGGATTTAGGCTGGTCTCTAAAAAGCGGCTTAAAGAAGATACCAAAAACCGCTGCAAAGAATATGATCCACCATGATTCACCTCAAACATTGAGCCAAGAGTCCTGAAAAGAAGTGGTCTTATCCTGTTCTGACCTCGTTTCGAGTCTCAGTCTATGTTGAGCCGTGAGGGCGTATTGGATGGCCCCCTCCCTTGTCCAGGACCGGGCAGACTCAGCGATGGTCATGCTCTTGAGACTCCTCTTCCGACCGCCGAAGCGGGAGCCTCCTGGGGAAAAAAAGGGTCTAATACACTTCCCTGCAACAAACGTGGACAACCCCCTCTTGGTGAAGATAAGTATATAGTCTTATAGAGTCTTTTGAGGTTCCATGTTCCACTTCCGTGATCTTACATGATGGTTGGAGGGTAAGCTTCTACATCAAGATCCCACGACTCAGCTCCGGCTTCAGTGGACGGGCTTCAGTGCGGGTGACCGAATCGCCTGCTTCGGAGCCATCATCAAATTACTTTGATTGCTTGACTGTGGAGGCAAGTACAAAACTGAAGAACCGTCATTGTAGTAAGCTGAAGCCGCACTTCAAGTAGCATCGTCCAAATACACATTGGATGTATCCTTGTTCTGGCTACCTAAAGATCAAACATATGAGATCAAATTAGATGATGTATAAAATAAAATGGTTCTTGCATCACCTGATTTTGTAAAGATCTGGATACCACTCTCATCCCGCACAGTCCCGCCCCGGGCGCGATACCAGTGCCGGTCGGTCTGACCGTCCGGGTGCCCCGGGCGCAAGGTACCGAAGACCGCCCAGCCATGGTAGGCCAACGCATCAGTGCCCAAGAGGTCCCAGCTGCCTGGGTGGGAAGATGAGGCCGAGGAGACCCCATGGTTTTGAACGTGAATAGCATGGTTTTTTTTCCAATTGCTATAGACATATTCCTTTCATTCCATTCTTTGCATGCATGACATCCATTTGGACTTCATACCTTTCAGAGGTCTGTCACCCTAAGCTATGCAGAACACATCAGCATCTTTTAGCTAAGGACAAGTTCTGGTGAATCAAAACCAATCGCTTTCGTGTTGAAGATCTTCTTATTTCGCGTTTGGTGCTCCTCCAAAAGCTGGGTTGGTGCTTTCAAAAACGGTAGACCCTCCAGAAACTCTACATGGCGAAAGGAGGTGCAACAACAAGATCCAGTGATCCAAACCTCCCAACAATCCTTAGCCACATAGATCTGGGGAATCTTTGCGCTCCACAACCGCAAAACATCGGACCTTTGTTGGCTGACCCTCACAACTTTCACCACCGGAACAATGCTCCAGTTTCGGAAAAACATGAATCCTGCTTGATTCTGAAGACTCGTTTGATTCATTGATTGGAAAAGTCCTGCGCTTTCCTACGGACTGACGGGTATTCAAGTAACCTGTCTTTTCCTCAAAACAGAAGCTAAGGTTGGTTGTCTTGACACGATAAAGTTCATAAAACTACATCTTGAACGGGTCAGGGACCTTCTCACCTGGAAGATCAGGGTAGTGGATTTTGTGCTCACTCAAAGCCAACCAGGCAGAGTGCCTCCATTCCCTCGGGCGCATAAGAATCTCTCAGGTACTCCTCCAGAACTGCTCGATTGAGCTCTGTTGGAAATCCATCAGTGGCAGCACTATAATCCCCTGAACACCACTCATCAAATAAAGGATCATTTGGGGCTCGGCCTGATGATTTCTCAAGCCGCCTCCTTTCGTCTTCAAGATCATACAAAAAAACAAAGTCCTGCGCCTGCCACGAAATCGGCACTTCAAGATTCACATGCGGCAGCTCTGTGAAAGCGCTTCGCCGCAAGAATGCTTCCAAAGACAACATCCAGATACCAAAACGCAGCTTTCGCGCGAGACTTCCCCCGATGTCTGAAAACGAACCACATGTGGAAAAGTCACGATTCACTGCACCTGTCACGAAATTAGAGCGTGTCAGATCGCCACCATATCCAGGCAATGAAGTCCCCAGGGGTAGCCTAGCATAGGCCCTATCACAGGGCGATTCTTAGGGTATCACAGGGGGGGGTGCTGGGGCTAGCCCAGGCCCTAATAGGGAGGTTTTAGGGGTAGGCTAGGCCCGACCCTAGCGTGACTGGGCTAGCCCTAGCAGCCCCCCTATCGTAGGGCCTCGGTTAGCGCTGGGACCCCCCTATCCTTGAGTGTGGACTTGTGTGGTTCGGTTACCGCTCGTCACGGACGATTCGGAGCATGTTGACGCAGGACAAAATTAAAAGACATAGCACAAAGTCTTTGGGATTTCCCAGACGGTTGGAATGGTTGACCATAGGATTTCATAACAGTTTCATTGCTTCTCCTGGAACAAGAGAGTAAGGTCTTACCACGGTTGGTCTAGAGTCTAGCATATACAGCAAGCTGGAGAGACAGGCTCATAGACATCGAAGAGATGGTCCCAAAGAATAATTGCATACAAACTCGGCGGTTTATGGCTTCCATTCTCCCCTTGTCTCCTGTGGAGAAACCCCAACGTGCGGCAAACGGGCGCCGTGCGGTTTGCGGGGCGCAAGACATTGGAAGTCCTCGTGATCTCAGGAAGATGCTACAGAACAACCAGAGCGGTTTGGAGATGTTTGGCGTTGGAGGTCATTCCTACTAGGTTCGCGGCCATCGCTACTATCCTGTCTCTCCTTCAGCCATCATAGTTCAATGGGGCCGCTGCGGCGGTCCATACAAAGAAGGCCCGGTCACTTTCAGGGAGGGCAGAGCTTCAGCATCTTCTGACGGACACCCCTCAACCAGGACTTGAATATGCCAGGATTTTGGTATGCATGAGCTTCTTCAACCTCTGTGCCTGGCAGGTACAGCGGTTTGTGAGCCTCGAAGTGCAGATTTCGTGGCAGGTACAGCACTTTGTGAACCTCGAAGCAGATTTCGTGGCAGGGAAAGCACTTTGTAAACCTCAAAGTGCAGATTTCGTGGCAGGCGCAGCACTTTGTGAACCTCGATGTGGAGATTTTGTGGCAGGTTATCTCTTTCCTTCCTCCAGCTAGCAGTACAGTACTTGCCTCCAGGTTGTCTTCGACGTCTTCGATTGCCAATATCCACTCTGTCTCTGTGGACCCTTGTTCATTGCGACTAACGTTCACTCAGATGCGCACCTCTCGCTCTCGCTCTCACTCACACTCACACACACTCACACACGCTCACACTCTCACTCACGCTCACTCACACTCACTCTCACTAACTCTCACTATCTCTCACTCACACTCACATTCACACTCACACTCACTCACTCTCTCACCCTCACACTCACTCACACTCTCACTCACTCTCACTCACACCCACTCCCCACTCTCGCTCACTCGCTCCCTCGCTCGCTCACTCCCTCACTCACTTTCACACACACACACACACTCCCTCTCACACTCACTCTCACACTCACACTCTCACTCACATGCACAAACACTCACACTCACACTGGCACTGACACTCGCACTCGACACCACCGCCACCATCCCTTCATCGCCACCATCACCTCTCTGGGCCCCAATGCGTCTAGATCTCTAGACTTTGTGTTTATAGACCTCACACACACACACACACTGTTTGGGGTCTCTTGCCGGGATAATTTTCTGGGTGGCGTGGATGATACAAACCAATCTTAAACATTCTTTGAGGGAACAATCAAACATGTCTTCACCAGGCGAGTGCCACCCAACTTTGGTCTCAACCCCTTCTGACACCCGAGTTTCCCGACCCATTGCCAGCAAAAGCCCCAGCAGTGCTCGTTGAAGCTGTGCGACATGCTCCAGTGCCAGTGGTGCCGCGGTGGCCTGGCCAGTTACGTCAAAGAGAAAGAAGCCAGTTCAGGCGTGGCGGGTTCAGGCGTGGTGAAACTTGTTGCTGCGCTGCTTGTGTTTAGATGAGTAATGGCCCAAGATTAAACGCTATAAGAACCCGTAGAACGCTTCGGCTGAAATCATGGGCAAGGCGGGCCAGGGGAGATGAAGCTTGATCAGGAATTCGTTCCCTCCACTCCAATAGTGGGGCCTAAATGAAGGCAGAACCAAGCCAAATGAAGAAGTGATAAAACAAATCACAGAACAAATCCAAAAGTATAGCCAAACTAACGAATAGCCGCGGTCGCAGGTACTCAAAACTCTTCTTGTAAAAACCCACTTCTCCTACTGGTTTACCTCGCGGGGTGGGGATAACATTGCGTATTTGTCCTGCTTTCGTGTTTGCGCTGGTATCGTCAACCATTACATGTCCGTGTCATGTCTGTTGTTGTGTTTATCATTGCACTGGGTCCTGTGACGCAAACACAGAGGTCACGATAGGATTGGTTGTCGAAACAAGATGGAACCGAACCTGAAAGTTCCGGTGAAACTGTGCGACATTTGGCGAACACCAAGCAGTGTTGCTCTCTTAAGACAGCATGTGACGCATGTGTGTATAGATTTAAAACTATATCAGAATCCCACGCAACCAGGGAGAACATGCAAAGAAACACCTGAGGTGAAATCGTGGCAAGAAGGTCTGGAAACTAAGCTGCCGGAGCTTCAAAACAAAAGTTGGAAACGGGACAAAGAGCTATTAGAGCTCAATCACCAAGTGCTGCGCAGTAGGCGCCCACGGCGCGTGTGGGTGCGCTCGCCAAAAATCCGACTTGCGTGTAAGACACAAGGGTTAACGCTGGCGAGGCACTCCTCTAGATTTTGGTGTTGACCAGTGAACCAGCTACATTGATCCACATGGCTTTAGTCGGTTAAGCGCCAAAGGCAGCGATGCAAACCCTACGTTCTCTCCACCATGTGGTAGGTCCGCCCAGTAAGAAATTCAGTCTACCCAAGAAACTTGTCAAAACATGGGGAATCGGAATATGGATATTCCCACCTCCGAATCGTTCCCTCCTGAGCACTACTGTAGTTAAGACGTGTCCTCCACTGGGTCCTCCACGTCTGCTCTTCCCAATCATCGCACCTGCATCCTCTGCCACAGCGGAAGCCACGTCCAAACTGCACAACTTGCTGTGCGCGACGCTCAAACATCAACAGCGAATCCCAATCCCAGAGCCACATGAAAACCAAATGTGACCCCTCTGTCAAATCTAGGTGTTCAGAGAATCAGAACAGTCACATGGCTTTTGGCAAGCCACCAAATATTGACGACCATTTGGTTCTGACAAGACTAGTGACTAGAGAGAGTTCAGTTGAAATGTTATCACGCATATGCCCTCTCTCCAACAATCATGGAAACTGGCCTCTGGAAAGACCATTCTCCGCTACAAACAGGGGTTTTCCACCTCCACGTTTGTTGCAGGGAGGGTATAAGCAAAGATTCTCAAGGGCCCACAAGCAATCAGCAATCATTTTGTTGACATCCAGGGTTTACAACTTGTTAGTTGAACCAGCTAACTCTTGGGACTCTTCAAGATCGTCGATTTGTGCTTGGGGAGTGCTACTTTTGTTCAATTGTGGAGCTGCGTGGCGATCAGACCAAAGCATTTCAATCGACTTGTCGATCAGACGTCATCCTTTGCCGGAGAATCGATGGCAGTTCGATGGACTTGCAGGTGGTGCGCAGAATTCCGTCTATCGGCCCTCTAAATAGACTCTCGAAATCACCCCCGCATAGTTTCCAAGAGGTTTTTCAATGGGGGGTGTAGTAATCAAGAGTCTACATTGACACCTGACCCGGGTTCCTAACAATTCTCCCGGGTGAGGCCTCCAACGACCAAATTTGAAAACATAGTGAGGACTGGAGAGTGTTCGAGGAAGGCTGTGGGTCATGGCACTGGGCGACCCGGGTTGACCGACCCGAAAATGAAATAGATCGCAGGCCAGGTCCACCTAGCAGGGTTTGGGGGTTTTGACCTATGCCGAGTTCATGTCCATCAACAGTCTCCGAATTACAACCATGGCAGCCAGCGTTGACCGACAATTAGGGCCGGTACACAGCAGGTGATGGAGCACCGAAACAATAAGATCGCATAGTTTGCGAACAGCTTTCAATACAAGACTGAATGCCTGCCGAATGAACGCCAAGGAGCAGCTTTCTGACATGGTGCTTAGTAGGGGATGAGGGAATGAGCCCCCACAAGAGATACCTTTAGGATTCATTGCCTCATTCTTGACTAAGCATGAACATAGCACGAACTAGTTTTATGGTATAAACCAAACCTTGCAGTGATTGTTTCCCCAAAAAACCTTTCCAGGGCATCCGGGAACGACCGTCGGCATCCGCGAAGAACCTTACTTGGAGCAGGTCGCCTCCCAGAAGCAAGAAGAGGAGGTAGGAGTGGTCCGTCGTTGCGGGCCTCGTTTCGGTCGTTTTTTTTTTTCCTTTTTTTTTTTTTCGCGTTTGCGTCGGAGGGTCCAAGGGTTTGGAATCGGCTGGTGAAGGCTACCTGACACCTTCCATGAGTGTAGCATGGGTGGTTTCAAGATTGGGGTACATATTGGCGCGATCAGGCAGGTTGACTCACTCTTGAGATCTTCCATGATCTTCTTCTGTCAAACTGCGTGGATCTCTAAGATTCACAAGCCTTCTGCACATCTCCTGGCAGCATGGCAAAAACCGCTGCCACAAACATACCCTAGGGGTCCAAGTACCTTCACAGAAGGTGATATTATAGCCATAGCGGCCATAGCCATCCAACACCGAACGGTGAAGGGGTCCGGCCGTCACGTCGGAATCGACCCGTTGGCTGGTGTCCCTGATCCGCTCGACTGGTTGGCGCCTTCGGTTGGTCGCTTGGTAGGTTGCTTCCCCTCCTCTTCGAGGGTCTTCTGTATAGTGTTCTTCACTTCGGGCGGAATCCCAGAGCGGTGAATCAATAGCCAACCATATATAAGTAAGACCCAATTCTCGCACACCCACATAAAGGTATACATGGATGGGTATATTAATGAGTGGATGGGTACCAATGTGGGTACGTACATGGCTTCAGGGATCACTATGAGCCTGAATCAGTGCCAAGAAACATCAAGAAACACTTTTCTTTCCACAGTTGTGGGTCTCACTGCAAATTGGTTTGCAACAACCTCCACAACTTAGAGTACTTGTCGAGTTGCAGTTGCCCAACCTATCCCTGTCGAACATAGAGGTGCAATCTTTTCCCAGTATAGTTTCTCCAACCCCAAGATTGAAGATATACTATAGATTGAAGATATACTATAGTATAGATTTCTTAACGTTTGAATGCAACATCAACGTTTAAGATTCAATTTAAGGGTAATTCTTGGCTAGGCGCAGAGTCCGATCCCACCTCGCCTCACTGACTGACTGCTTAGCCCAAGTGGCCGAACCAAGCCCTCCACGACCAAGCGGGTGGCGGAGAAGGCTGCAAACAGCCTCAGGGCGGATTGGATCTGATTCCGACAGTGACTGGAACAGCCTCAGGGCGAATTGTTTTGTCCTCCACTTCCGGTGGGTTCCGGTGCTGTGAAGTTCACAAGTGTTGATAGAAAGTTCAGTCCTCCTGATCAGAAACACATCTTGTCAGGTCAAGTTCATTCGGGTTGGTTGTAACCATTATATAAGTCTTGTAAACTCTATGCGCCGGCAAGTCCAAATCAGTCTTGAAACCGACATTGGATCTATGTATTTGCACCTGCCAGTGCCATCAATTGGGAATGAGGGCATGCTCTGCAACTTGGGATCCCCTGACACACCCGACGTTCTGCTTCCACAAATGACTCTCCTCACCCGAAACGGTTTCAGGCGAGTGTACCATTTGAGTAAAGAGACTCAACCGTTTCATCACTGGACTTTCGACTACTACGTTCCTATTGGCAATACCTTTACTGAACATGATACATCTGTCGCATTGGTTTCTTTTAGTCCAGTTCGTGCATGTCATGCACGTACCACGCACGTACAATCTTGTTTGACGGCAGTCTCCCTGTCTCACTTCCCAAACCGTGGTTTCAGACAAGGCTTTGCCCCCAAAAAAGGTCTGAGAGAGGTATTTCAACCACTTCTGTAGAATCACCCTGAAAGACCCAAGATGTATGACACTTCTTTGGTGACTATAGATTTTAAGCTAATGAGAGAGATCCATGTCACCTGCATCAACCAGCACTGTGCTGCTCCACCAGCCATCTCGCCGCTTTCGCCGCCTCCTCGCCGCCGCGGTGTGTTGAGACAGAGCTCTCTTCCCCCACCAGGCTCCCGGGCGGCAAGGCCGCGTGCACGAGCAGCACCACGCTGGAGACCCACTGTGGCCGCTCCAAGGCGACGTCCAGGAGCTCCCAGCGCCTTCTCCAGTGGTCAGGTGGGGGGTGGCAAGGGGCCAACAGCGAGACATCTTCGGGTTTTGCATGAGAAGAATGATCAGACCCTGCTGAAGTCCACAATGGATATTGAACTCTAGCTTGGTGGGGTTGAAACAGGAATTGAAGTCTATAGCTTCTTGGCAGTTCTCCGCCTTTTGTGTGGCAGCACATTCAATGCAGATCAGGATCTGCAGGATCTACTAGCTATACCCAACAGGGGTTTATTGGCGGGTGTAGGATCTCTTGCCCATGAACAGAAGGAACGAACAACACCATTGAGGCCGACATGGTCTTGCTTAAGCATGGCATGAACGTGCCACCCTTCGCCAAGATTCAAGTTCCGCTGCTAAAGAGATTGTTGAAGGAAAACACATGCACATCATCAAAACATCAAATGACATGTCATAAAACATCACTCTCGCGTGCGTCCATGAGAGTTGCAGGTGTCGTGGGAGAAGTAAGTTCAAAGTCGGAGTGGGCTCTTTGCCACTCCCTCAACACTCCCAAAGCTCGACGTTCAACGAAACTGCCTCACCAGTATGATGACTCCACAGTCTACAGCGTCCCTGATTCTGTGTCTTAGTCTTTACCTCAGCCCTCCAAAGTATTCTGAAAACTGGGATGTGACCCGAACAAGCAACCAGCAGGTAGACGATACATGTACCAACACCCAACTCTTTCGAAAAGGGGGTACACTCTGACTCGCTCACATGACTCGGTTCTCCCCTGCAAACAACAACCGCCTTCTGGAGCGAAGCCATGTCTGTTTTTCTTCCATGGCCAATCTTTTGGACTCTCCGACCCTCCGTTGTGTCCCCAACCTTGTTTGCTTCGCCCCGACCCTCTGTAGTACGCCCACCCCCGTACGCCCTACCCCCCTTCGGGGTGAGACAGAGAGACCCCTGTCTGCGCGATCGGCTTTCCGTCCACTCCAGGGCGCCAAAGAGTCAGCAGGGTGACGCCCAGCAGGAGCACCGTGGCGCCCACGCGTGGGCAAAGGCGCCAAATCTGAGACACCTCGGTCTGTTGGGCTGGGGAAGACTGGGTGGAGCCCGACTTGGTCAGTGTTGTCTGGAGAGAAAACGTTTTGTCCTTCAGGCTGGAGGGCTTGTTGGTAGTAGGATGTAGCAGGTCATTGGATGGTTCTCATCTTGCAAGAAAGATTGAACAACCACTCCAAACATGGTAAATCGCCTGACCAGCAGTGGGTTTGCAGGTCTCGACCAAACAAGAATGAGAGTCCACCCAAATGCCTGGATTCCAAGATTCGAAGCCTTTCTGATGGAAGTGGAGTCTTTGCTTCTGTTGTTCCAGTGGTCCAATGGGTCTTGAGTCGAAGCTAATGGATTAGGGGAGCGAATGGATCAGGGGTTCAACCAAGACGGTCCAACGGTCCAACTGAACCTAGTTCTCTGCTTGTCCACAAGGCTTTGACTCTGGACAAGCAACTCTTTTTTCTCTCGAACAAGGTAGCAAAGGCATTGAAAATTATTTCGACATCTCCCCTCTCTTTTTGGTTTTGCCAGTGACGTTGCATTGGGCAAAGCCTCATGTACCTGACAAATGCTTGCTGCTTACTCTATGCTTCTTCTGGCACGCGACAATTACAGACTCCGTTGTAGTCGGTCTGGAGCACGGTCTCTTTTGGGCAGGGTTTGCTGCCGTGGGGGGTGCATTTTTGAGCTCTGTACTCCATCTTCTCCCACCTTCGTTCTGTTCTCCAAATGCCGCACCGTCCCAAACCGTCTCAACACCCCCCCAGCGCGAGCGGCCAAGGTGACCAGCAGCGGCGCCGCGGCGCCCAGCGCCAGGAGGAGCAGAAGCACCTGGAGCGCCGGTGGAAGTTCGACTGGTACTGTCTGTGTCTCAAGGATTTGGTGAATGCATTGCTTCAGGAACAGCCTAGGCTAGGCTCGGACATCACCATTACTGGTGTGTGGCGTGTGGTGGTGAGTGGGAGGAGTTGGTTTCGGCCTCTTCTACCCCCAAATAGGCTCGTGTTCGATGCGAGTTGAAAAGCCAACTCGACTCCTGCAGAAGGATGACTTCTGTGGGTTCATTGGCTCATAGACTGGGGGATCCTCCTTACCTTAACCCTTGCCCTGTGATTTCTGCAACAAAAAATAGGGCCATAAAATGGAAACACAAGCAATCAGAGGGGCTTGCAAAAATGACTCTCACTTTTTTTTGACTCTCAGTTTTCTTGTTTCTGACGCTAATGATATTGATACTAAAGAAGAGGGGGAGGAAAAAAATGAAGATGCTCTCAGTTGTCCTATTCACCTTTGATTTGGATGCTAAAGCAGAAGGGGAGGAAGAAGAAGA